AAGAAGTAAATGAAGTACACAGATTTAAATCATCATAACTTCTTCCAACATTAAAGATTAATACATTCCACAACTTTCATCCAACACTTAATTACTTATAATTTTAAGAAGAAGGATAAAGAAAACTACTCAGAATCCATTGAGAAAACAAAACCACTCTTAAATTTAAAAGTAGAAATCATTGTCAAACCAACAATAAGTCTCAATTAAAACCAAAATTAGTCTAAAACAAAAAAATAAAAAACTTATCTCAAGACTTATCTCAAGTCCTCCACCACCTCCACCAAACTGGCTCAAAAATGTGTTATATGCTGCCTGAGATTTTCGGTCTCGTTGAATGTTTTAAATTTTGGTGACACAAAGCCCTTGGGGTAGGTTATGACATCGAACTCCTCTGAGTAAGGTCTACCCCTTGAAATCAATGTGCCGCCCTTAGATTGGGCCCAAACTTATTGTTCGATCAACTGTTTAATAACTTTCTCTGGTATGGTATATGGTGAGGAATCCTTCTTTTGTTGTTCATCTCCATTGGCAGAGGTAACCTCTCTCCTTTCATTGGTAATATGAACTATTTCCAGCTGGTTGACTTCTGAAGAAGCTAATTGTACGACTGTGACTGTTTATGGATTGTAGCCATGGAGGCCATGGCAGCAGCCATCTCCTCCATTCTCTTTTCCATTTGACTAATTTGTTCATCTCTTAAGAAAACAGACCTACACAAATTATCTGTGGTGTTCCCTTCAATGAGAGGTTGGGTATCGCTCGCAGATGTGGCAGCTTTGGTCTCAATGACATGAATATTCATGAAAGATTCATTGAGATAATCATTGAAATCAAAATCTTCATCATCATTGATGACTACATGCTCTTTGGCTAAATCGGAAATTTCAGCCCAAAGCTTTTCAAAATTTCTCTTCAATTATTGCTTCTTAGATCATTTTAAGATCTGGAGGATTTTCCTGAACATCCTCCTTTTGTTCATCAAACTTGGTAGCAATAACTATAACTATATCTGATACTTTAGACTTTTACTCCATTCCACAACTCTGCCCTACGGGCTCATTAAATTGTATTGGTACGGCGACCTTGGGTACCCATACCTTCTTCTTTGAAAGTGATTTCTTGAGACAAAGTGCGTTAGTAGTAACGGAGGCATCGGTATGCCAAAAAGAGGCATGCTCCCCGCGGTGCGTACCAAATACAATATTAGGTAACTTCTTTATCTTCTCCTTCTTTGGGGTTGTCTTACGAGCAAAAACTGATGGTACTCTCGGACCTAGACGTGACTTGACCGGTCGACATTATGCAGGCCTCAGGACAGCAGTAGTAACAAAATCTATGGTAGCAACAGTAATATCAACTCGACTCCCCAGACGGAACCTGACGAAAATACGGGCTGAAAAAACTTCAGTTGACTTCTGAGATTGTCGGACATATCTGACATCACTTAAAATCTCTTTCTTCATTTGAGGGAACACTGCACATCTCACCAATTTAAGTAGCTCAATGACTGAACATCCTTCTTTAGCGGCCAATCTTGGAATATGTACGAACTTTAGTGATAGGAGTGGGCTTCTCCCTCTCCTCACTATGACCATGAAACGACGGTAAGGTATCAACGACCTTTTGAATGCTTTCATATCCATTAGTATTCATTAAAGGGCGAAACCTACTCCCTCGCATGAGCAGAGAGACTTTAAGTAATTCAAGTTCCTCCTTGTGAGGAAATTCATCAACAGTTATTTTTTCTGGAATTTTTGCTTTAACGGCCTTTTGAGACTTCTGGCTAGGGTTTCTTCTTTGAGATCGAGTTAATGGGGCAAACTTCGAACTCGATCTAATGTCAAATATCGACAATGTGACAGTAAATCCTTCAATTGTATGTTCCACAATCATAACCTCCTTTCCTTTGACAGAAAAAGGAACAACAGACTTCATAGGTACTGGGGGAGCAGCAGCTTTCACCTTCTTGCAGGAAGGGAAATCCTAAGGACAGTTTAGGTTGAATTCAACGAAAGGCTTCTGAACTTCAGGAGCGGTGACCTTCATTATGACAAATGGGGATTTTCTGAGAATGACTTCCAGTTCATTGAATCTAGCTCCAAACTTGATGGTGGGAGCGACATTGCGAGCATTGCAGCTAGTTGACAGGTTGCAAGAAAAAGTGAGCTTCGGGAACGCCATTGTAGCAGCTTCAAAAAGAAAGCTCTGGGGTTAGTTATTTGGCCAACACCTTGTAATTCTAGTGCGAACATTAAAAATTAACAAAGCCCGATCTTTAGACTAGGCATGTCTTTATTTAATTTTAGTTTGTGGAGATTTTAAAAATTTAGTGAAAATAGTTTGAAAGTAGAAGGATTTAATTAATTAGATAAGAAAGGTTAAAGAGTAAGCGCAACACACAATTCAATTTAATTTACAAAGTAACAAACCAAACTCGAAGGAACTTAAAAAAGGAAAAATAAAGTTTAAGACCCGGTGCGGGACCGACTTTACCACGAATGCCTAGGCGGAACTAGTCCACCAACACACCTATTGGGGGTCTGACCCCACACAAAAACAAAAGTCCTAATGAGCTCGTAAACGTCTCTGTCCAAAGGTGATTAAACAGACGGTCCAGAAGTCCTGAAGATTTGATTGTACTTACCCAATAAAGAAATAGGTGAAGATGTCAAGGAAATAAGGGTAATTTGGTCCATAAGGGACATGGACACATTACCCAAATTACCGATGTATGAAGACAATATTCCCTGATTTTAATAGAGAAAGAAACTACTTACCAACAGAGTCGCTAGAAGCTGTCAGCATAATTTTTAGAGTCCTGTAGAAGCTGTCAGTCACCGAAATTGAAATTACGATGCCCACTTCGGAAAGACATTTAATTTATATATATATTTAGTTTAGAAAAATATGAAATCAAACTGATCCCATATTTTTCAAAGTTTAGATGAAAGAGCACTACACCTCAAGCTATGTATATATCTCAAAAGATAAACACATGATTCAATAGTGAGGCTCAATCAACTAAACTAAGAAATATAAGACATCCATTTAGTCTGCGAAAACCGTTTTTTTATGTTGACTAACAAGTTCCCCTATTTAATATAAAAAATTAAATAGGGTTTATATTCAGCTGGATTCTTGAAAGTTTCCTACAAAGGCAAGCCCTTATAGTTAATTACATCTTAGATAACGAAGTCACCAAAGAAAACTCTCGATAAAAATCAGGGGATATTGTCTTCAAGAATTTCAAAGGATATGACTTGTCAAAGAGATCAGACAGAGATGTGAAATGTGAATAGCTCAAATTTGGAACATTTTATTTTTGGAATCCAAAAGAAGAAGAACTAAGGGATTTGATGGATCCTGAGGAGAACCTCAGCGACTTCCCAATATATCATATCTGGTCTCAATTTAGAGGAGAAATATTTAAGTGTTTCATCCTGCCAATTTTATTAATTAGGGCTTACATTCATGTAAAACAATCACACAAATAACTTGGAAGATGTACTTGGAAGATGTGAGGAGATGTGAGGATTTTGGTAATAACGAACGACAACCTCAGAATCCTAAAGTGAGTTAGGGTTTATGTTGCATAACAGAGTCATACAAAGGGCTAAAGAAAAGTTGAGGATTTATGTCGCACTAGGCGGACAACCTCAAAACCCTATGACTTGTTGGACTTGTTGTTTAACTTGTTGTTTAATTCTAAGGAATGGTTTAGCTGGTGTAGACATGTTTTGCTATTGAAGATGACCATGTTGCCTATAATGCTAGTTCCAAGCTCCTTTTCGTAGTAAGTTTAAGTTTTTCTAATGTGTCAATTATTGATGTCAAATCAAATATTTCCTAAGGTTATGGTTATTTAAATATCATATGGGATGTTAAAGTTGATTAGATTGAAGCTGGTTAGGATCCCACGATTCCCTCCCCGACACCACTATTTTCATCGAATTCACTTAGTCCAAATGAATTTACTAAACTCAACTTAATGGGTTCCATACTTTTATTTAGACCGTGAAAAATCTCGTTAGCAACCATAGGTTACCTTCTCTGAAGGATTCACAATCATCCGATAGATATTTTTTAATTTAATTGCAATTTTTGTTTTGTTTTGTTTGTGATTAAATTTTGAGTTGTCTTATATTTTGACTATTGTGACAGTGAATTTTATCTTTGTTTTTTAATTTATTTTGGTTTTAGTTCCGTCACTATCCTAAAAGTTTCAGTTTTGACATGCATGGTGACTTTGTTATTTAACAGGCAAGTTTATAAGCAGGGAACAAGAGATGCAAATAAATAATAGTAAATTTCAATGCAATAACTTAAAAGCGTACATGTCAATTCTTTTTGTTTTTTCACCTGAAATTCCAATATTTGCAAAGCATATGTATAATTTTGCAGGAAAAGCATAGAACAAATATTTGAGGTGTGTCTATCAGATCTTATATTAGACCTTAATGGATTCAATCTGTTTGTCTCTGGGGATGATTCAATTAAGCAAATCATAATATGTCCAAGTGTCCTCTGAAATTCCCAAAAGATCATGAAAAGGTCTTGAGTAATACCCTAGACATTTCAATCCCTCGAATCATCTCGAGTTCATTTTGGCCTTATTTTGTTTGTCATGTTGTTCACCCAATTTATGCCCTTATGCTTAATGAACCTTGATGTTTGGATTATTCCCTTAATTGGGATAATTATCACTTGATGTTTCACTTACAAATTATACAGGTAAAGGCCCATAAGGGCAATCTGGGCTTAATTAAGAAATTTAAATCCTTTGATTTTTTAAATATGGGATTTTAGTATTTTGACAATATTTCAAATTATTTATAGGTAATTTTCTAAACCTCATTATACAAAATTTGATTAAGCCTAGCTCACTATGAAGCCTGTAAAAGTTAATGGGTGGATTTGTTATTTTTCTTAGGCAAGTTTTAAATGTTTATACTTTTAATCCTTATCAGGAATCATACATTAAAAATAAAATGCACAGATTTTCCAAATAAGAGTACTTTTACAGCAGTCGCTCTACAAAAGCAACTTTCTTAATATCAAATTCGAAACCAGCTTTATCGATAGTTATATTAGATCCAATACATAGCAATTGAATATCTCAACGGTGCAGCTTTTTTATAGGATATGATTTCATCCGGAAGAAGTAAATAACCTATGCCCCAGTCGAAATACATGTTATTCTATATTCATTTTGTGAAAGGAGGAACAACCTGTTAGACAGCACCTAGGTCCGTCTTCTTTCGATAACAATCATCTTCCTCGAACTGACCCAGAAAAAAGCCCCTTCAGTTTGTTTCTGAATACCAGGAGAAGGGCGGAGCCAACCAGGGGCCAAGAAGAGACGACGGCTATGTACGCGAGTAACCATATTGACCTTTGACTTCGCCTTGAAAGCTGCTTCAGGCATCTCTTTACCGCTGCGGTAGAGGCATCTTTGAAAGTAATGGCATCTGCATCCTCGTCTTCCTTCTGACCAGAAGACGAAGATAATAATGGAGTATCCAAGGCTGTGTTTATTGGAGCACAATGCTCCTGATCGTCTGTGGTAACAATAGCCTTATTATCAGCTCGTGCTTCAATTTGTCTCTGCTCATCATTTGCATCAGATATGTCTTCATTGTCTGACACATCACTTATCACTGCCGTGATTAATCCATTTTCCATTAAATTTATATATGGGCCTTTATCAATGGATGAATCCAGTGGGGAATTTAGATCGTGGTTTTCTATCTGCAGCGTATTTGTTTTCACAGCTTTCATCACCTAAGTTATGAAATATGATTCAAACACAAGATTATAGTTCGAGAGAACACCTTTTGTCCGTGCATGTACGGGCTAGAATGGAGAACATAAAGAAACTCATGGACAGCTCTAACCCACCTGCAGGAAAAAAAAAGTCAAACTATTCGAAGAACACTATTTCAGTAGAAACGCAAGTATAGTGCCATTTTAAGTATACATGCAACCATCATTCCTCTTACTCGACTTATATGAGAGTAGAGCTAAAAGGGTTAGTTGCGAGTATCCATTACAATTTTTACTAGGAAAATTAAGTGCAAGGATAGAGCAAACAAAACATATCTTCCATAAAACTCTTTTAAAACTGCTTGTTTTTTGCCATAATGCTTGACCAAACTAGTCTATACTGAACACTTCAAGGACACAGAAGGAAAAGGAAAAAACTTGGCCGTGTACAATGGAACCATCTAATAAAAGATACTTGGATTTTAGGAATTGTACCATAAGCTGCTTGCAGCTATCCCTTCAAAATATGCAAGATGACCTCCATGGGCTGTTGTTGCCAAAACAATATGCTTGTTTGCCCTGTGAAGTCCATGGTATTTGAATTAATCAGAACAAGGCAGCTAAACGGGAACAGAAACATTTTAAAAGAGAATCGTGTTAGCTATACCTGCACTCATCCCAGGGAATCGCTTCCTTGGTACATAATGGATCATCCAAAGCACTGATGCAGAGCAGTGGAACTGATACGTTCCGCACATAGCTAACACTACTACAACGACGGTAGTATGTATCCACAGTCTACGAGAATATTTTACAACAAATTGATGTCACAGTTATCAAAATCTCAAAATAAAAAATAATGTAAAAGAAAAAATGGCATGTTAGATGTTAATACCTCAAATTTTCCAACTAGGCGTGTGGCATGATGGTCAAAGTCTCGAACTGAGCGTGACTACAAAGACAGTCAAAATGAGAAAACATGTGGACTTTGAAAACTTAAAAGTAAGGGTGTAAAAGACTAGAACACGAGTGAGCCCAAGGATTGTTGGTGTTTGGCTCGTTCAAATATATCTATAAATATATATTTTGAACATTGTCATAGCCGGTCTCAAGCCCAGATGTAAAAAGCGGAGGTTTGCGTTAAGTAATCAACAATCAACGTAAAATTTGTTGAAAAATTCATGACATGAAGCCTTTTAATCATTGTGTAAGTGCTAGGGCGTTCCCTGAAAGCGACGCACTGTATAGCCTAAATGCAGTGAAAAGAGTGCAAGGGCCGCTACACCGGCACCCGGGTGTAGTTACAAATAAGCAAGGGTTCCACATTACGGACAAATACAAATAAAGAAGTTAGTCCATTAAACTAATGAAATTAATATTAGGATAGGTTCATGGAATATATGTACTCTCAATGGTAAATTAATGGAATTAGTTGATATTATAATTCATAGAAAGATTAATATCTTATGTATTCAAGAAACTACATGGGTTGGAGAAAAGGTTAAGGAGATTAATAACTTGGGTTTTAAATTTTTGTATTCTGGTAAGAGTCACACTAGAAATGGTGTAGGTACAAGTAATTATAAATAAGAGTTTGAAAGATAATATTATAAAAATTAATAGAGATGGAGTAGAAGTATAGTCTTTAAAATTATCATTGATACTATGATTTTTAATATTATAAGTGCTTATGCTCCTCATGTAGGTTTAGATATACGAGGTTTAGATATAATGTAGGTTTAGATATACGGTCTAAAGATAAATTCTGGAATGACTTAGAAAACTTAATAAAAATGATACCACTTGAAGAAATATTTTTTATTGGAGGAGATTTAAATAGATATGTCGGTATAGTGGTAGAAGATTACAGAAATATTCAGGGTGGCTACGGTTTTGGAGTGATTAATGAAGAAGGTAGAGCTATTTTAGATATTGTTTTAGCATTGGATTTTGTTATTTCTAATACTTTATTTAAGAAAAGAGATGGCATCTTATTACTTATACTAATGGATCTAATAAAACACAAATTGATTATTTTCTTATGAGAAGAAAAAATCGTCGAGATTGTAAAGATTATAATGTCATTTCAAGTGAGGATTTAAGTACCCAACATCGTTTATTAGTTTTAGATTTTAAAATGAAGAGTTGTAAAATAGAGAATACTAAGACTCATCATCGTAGAATTAGATAGTGGAACCTAAAAGACACAAATAAAATTATTTTTATAAGTAAAATTCAACATTTCAAAAATTGAAATGTTCATGACGAAACAAATGATGTGGGATAATGTAACAAACACTATTAAACAAGTACCAAAAGATGTACTTGTAGAATCAAAAGAAAAAGCTTCTTTTAATAAAAATAGTTGGTGGTGGAATAATAATGTACAAGAAAAGATAAAATATAAGAAATTATGTTAGAAAAATTGGTTTAAATATAAAAGTTTAGAAAACTGAGAAAAATATCAAACGGCCGCAGGGAGTCTAAAAGAACAATTTGTGACACTAAAAATTCTGCTTTTAATGAACTTTGCATCAGATTAGATACTGAGGTTAGTGAAAAATATATGTATAAACTAGCTAAACAAAGAGAAAAGAAGACTAAAGATTTAACTCAAGTGTATTAAATATGAAAATCAAAAAGTGTTTTTCTTGGAATAAGATATTCAACATAGGTGGGTGAGTTATTTTGATAAAATTTTTAATAAAGTTTCTGAAAATATGATCAATCTTAGTGATCTTAATATCGTTAATAATAATAAAATATTTCATTTTAACGTCACATTAGTAAAAAAGAAGTTGAGGAGGCTTTAAAGAAAACTAAGTTTGGAAAGTCTATAGGACCTGATGATATCCCAATTGAAGTATGAAAATATTTAGGAGATTTGGGAATTTTTTGACTTAGTCAACTCTTTAATATTATTTTAAAAACTAAAAAGATGCCTGAGTGAAGGAAGGGTATTTTGGTCCCCATTTTTAAGAATAAAAGGAATGCACAAGAGTATGCAAAGTATAGAGCAATTAAGTTAATGTGTCATATTTTAAAATTATGGGAGAGGGTAATTGAACATAGGTTAACACATATTACAAAGATTTCTCATTATCAATTTGGATTTATGTCGGACAGGTCTAACAGGTCTACTGTCGGACAGGTCTACTATGGAAGCTATACATTTATTGAGATGTTTGATGGAGAATTTCCGAGATAATAAGGTGAATCTACATTTGATTTTTATTGATTTAGAAAAAGCTTACGATAAGGTTCCAAGAGATATCTTTTTAGAGAGTTCTTGAGAAGAAGGGCGTTGATATGACTTTCAAATAATCAAAGATATGTATACTAGAGTTGTTACTTGTTGACTTTCAAATAATCAAAGATATGTATACTAGAGTTGTTACTTGTGTTCGAATTGGAGGATTGACCAAATCTTTTCCTATTTCTATTGGATTACATCAGGGATAAGTTTTAAGCTCATATCATTTTGCTTTAGTTATGGATGGTCTTACCGGACATTTACAGGAGCATGTACCTTGGTATATGTTTTTTGCTGATGATATCCTTCTCGTAGATAAGACGAGAGAAAAAACCCAGAAAAAACTTGAATTATGGAGGTCTACATTGGAGTCCAAAGGCTTTCATTTGAGTAGAACTAAAACTGAATTGAATGTAATTTTAGTAGTAGTAGCTCTAGTGAAAAAAGTGTAACTTTGGGTGATCAAATTAGTAAAAGGTGTGAACGATTTAGATATCTCGAGTTTGTTTTGTTCAAATTGTTCAAAGCGATGGTGATATAGATGGGGATGTTAATAGTATAATTTAAATTGGTAGGTTGAAGTGGAGGAATACTTTGGGCCTTTTGTGTGATAGAAAAGTACTTCTTAGACTGAAAGGAAGATTTTATAAGACGGTGAGACCCTCGAATCGACGCTTTTTTTGCGACATGCTCAGTTTTATCCCCCATTGCTAGTAGGTTTATAAGTCGCACGCCCGGCACACATGTTTTGGCCTTGCTTGTGTGTTCATAACTCAAAATAGGTGACCTAACGGCCGCCGCCCGACTAGACATACCAATAGTCACCAGATTCATATGGGCTACTGGAGAGTAGGCAATGATCTTCTTAAGATCGATCTGTCTTGAAGTGGTCGAGGGAGTATATATTATAGCAATCGCGCTTGGAGTATAAATGAAAGGAGTGGAACGAAGTGTCGCTTCGGGAAACATGGGTATGGAAAATCTTAAAAACCCGTAGGTTCCCAATTTTAAAGGAATTCCTGCCAAGATGACGGATCCAGCCGTAGGTGCCTCTACATGGGCTTCGGGTAACCAAATATGAACTGGTACCATAGGCACTTTGACGGCGAAAGAGGCGAAAGAAGCAATCCATAGAAAGATTTGGCGCCGCTCACTCAATTCTGTGGTTAATAAAATTTGTGAATCGGTGGTTCCTGTTTGGAGAAGAATCAACGGAATAGCTAAGAGCATAAAAACAGATCCAAGTGAAGTATATAGGAAAAACTGATATGCTGCCTTGATCTTTCTTTGTCTCGAACCCCATACCCCTATAATAATGGTAGATGGCTCCGTCCCGAGCTTCCGTCGTCGACCATTGTCATTAGACCACTATGGACTGTGGGTTAATGAATTTTCTGTCGATATTTAATACTGAAAACTGTCGATAGTCAAATTTTTCTTGTTATTAATCGATAAGACTCCGCTAGTGCCTATTGCCTTAATGCCTATAAACTGGGACCCTTGAAATCACAGTTGACCAACTTCAGATCAATAAGCACAAGAAGGCAAGTCAACCCTACCACCGATACTAGACTAACGGGTCGACTCACTGCTTCTACTGCCTCTCCATACCCAAGCCGGAGAACACGCCATCTCGTCTGACGACGACTGTCCTAAGATACTTGACCGAACAAGTACTTGTGTGGAGCTTATCGGCTCAGAACCGATGCCTTCTCGAACTATAGCAGCCTTTTCCACCGTAGTGAGATATCCCCCAGTAGTTTCATACCTCGGCACGAGATATTCAGACAATCGGACCGGAAAGGGACCCGACCGACGGATTCGTGGTACTGAAAACCTAATGAGAGGATAAGATAGTTGACTGGCAGACCCCTTCACGTACGTTAGCCAAAGGCCCCTAGAAACTCAATCTGGAAGGGGACCTTGAACTCCGGCGAAACAAAGGCCCCGTACGACCTGCGGGAGTGAAGTGCTCGGTAGCTTTTATGATCACAACAGATGAACTGACAGCTCATAAGCGATCTGATCTGCTTTTCCCGTTAGAAGCATACGCGCAGGGGCTTCTTTTTCGAGTTCAGTAGAGCTGTAGTAGCGGGACTAGTAGCTAGCTACTCGACGGGTTGGATTGCTGAAGAAGACACATCAACATCATACTCTAATGTTGGCAAGAAACCCGAAGAGGTTCCGCTTCACGCGGCTCACTGGAAATGATTCAATACTGGCTGTTGAACAAGGGCCGGCTTTCGAGCCAATTAGATGCAGGTTTTCTTCTGGCTTGCCATGTTCTTAAGACTCGTTTGACTATTTGGTAGCACAGATCATTCATCGATAAGAAGAAGTACTGGCACGGCACACTCAGGCCAGAGAACGGTAACCACCTTGTGGTTGGGAGAAAGGCGTCAGAATAGGGGCGTGTCTTCGATCCAGTTCCCTAGCTTCGTGAGTGGAAAACAAAGGCATTAGGTTCAATAGGGCTTTTTCCCAGTGCATCAAGGATCACGACTTCTCAGGATCTGCTAATGCTAACTCAGCAACAAAGAAGAAGCGAGGGCGAGCTTAGGCTACCGGTGGCTCACTTGCTTCTAAAATGCCCGGTTCCACGAAAGAAGTGGATTCGTCGAAGTCTGGTTAGGAGGCAAATCAAATGTAGGTGATGCCGATTGGGCTTCCTTCAGATAGGTGCTCAACGGAAGGCTTCT